AGTCAGAGTTAAGAAAGGACCCAGATACATCCCTGTATTTTACTTCAAGATATCTTATTACCTGCCACACCTAAATTAATGCTTAAATTATTTTAAGTGTTTCACTCAGATYGTTCCATTCTTTCATGGCTTGATACTGCATTAAGCTTTGCTTTCCCGTTAAAATGTCCCTAAATCGTTTGTGAGATAAATATTATAGATGAGCACGCGGAAAAAAATATTTGTCCCTGAAGTTGAAGCTGTTGGGGGCCCAACAAGTTACGTGAAAGAGATCACGCGCGATCAAACATTACCACGAGGCAGGCACGTGAAAAAAGAAATTGTCCCTGAAACTCCAGTCCCGGGGGTGCCAAATGAAAGAACTTTCAAAATCGAGATTTTTGTTGGCTTATGGGACACGGAAAATCCAAGATTACTGTCGCTGCTCGCCTGACGGCTCGCACCAATTATTATTCAAAATAAAAAAGGTAAAAAAAAAAAAGAATAAAGAAATGAATGAATGAACGAACGAACAAACGAAACATTAGTTGCAAATCTCCACGATTTTCATTCGTAAAATTCGACTTTGCGACGACTTGGTTTTGATCTGTCGCCGTAAAATCGCCATTGAAATTACGGAATAAGCCGCACAACAAAACATTGCGAGTGTTTACAGGGCTTTGTTAATTAAACCACATTTATGCCTAAGAGTAACGAAATATTTCATTTTCGAAAATTATTTTTATGTGCATAAAAATTTTCGTTTCATAATACTTTAATACATCAATAAAGTACCCTTTTATATTTACGATAACCTTAGCTGAGGATAAATATGAGTTTCTTTATCAAAATACTGATATTTGCGCTACTAATGACCGTCGTCCCAATTGTGCACATCGCAAAAGGTAGGCCAATAATGCATTATATCTTTACGAATTACAGTCATGAACACCAAAAACGCTGTTTAACGCCGTTTATCTACTATAATTTATATAACCACAGGGCAGGCCCGGTTTACTAAGGTACCGCCAAGTGTGTTGTACGTATCTGTTGGGAAAACTGGACGTTTTGTCTGGGACTACATAGTAGATAACAGGAAAAATAACTTTCAAGAATTCTCACCAATATGGTCATTTTATGGGCCAAATAATTCGGAATCGATAATTGGCTATGAACTCGTTTTTCTTCAAAAACAGTGGACTATCAATAACAAAACCTGTCCAAAACGATTCCTTAGTCCTACTCGTGTCAGCTTAGAAACCAATGCTACCCTTGTCATACAGAATGTTACAGTAGATGATAGCAGTACCTATGGATGTACCCTGATGCTAACAAAAAAGGACCCGGTCAGAAGTAAAGTAAAGCTTGTTGTCACAAGTAAGTTGCTAACTACTTGATAGGAAGAACGGGACGGGACGGGACAGGACGGGATGGGGCGGGATGGGAAGGGAAGTGACGGGATGAAAAACACATTAGCTAAACTAATCAAATTTATACAGCGAACAAGAGAGATAAACAATTCCGAAGGCTATTAAAACCCATGTGCGCAACATTAGAATGAAAAAGCCATCTCTGCGTTTTCCACTATGCTTTCAGTTTCATGTTGTTGTTGTTTTTTTTTCATATTTTTTTATTTCTTTTATCAACAATAATTAGGAAGCAATAATCAATTAATAACAATACTTATAAAACAATAACCAATAAACTGGATATAGTCGCTTTAAATTTATTTTCGTCGTTTAGCAAGACCTAAAATAACAATACCAACGACAAATACATCAAAAATAAGACTGATCGAGAGAGATACCCTGGAAATAAACTGTTCTGCTACTGG